TATCAGTGAGCCAGGGAACTAAATGTATCAAAAAATACCTCAGGGTTTGTGAAAATGTCATTAACCAGTTGAAATGTGAATACAGAAGACACTTCTTCCTCATGCCTTCAAAATGATCTTGTCTCTAAAGCACAGAAATAAGATGCCTGATTACAATGTAGAAAATATTTTCTGTCTGTCAGCAAATTGCTGTATATGCTACAAGATCACTGGTAGTCTACTTGCTATACAAGTTCTTCTACGAACAAAAAGCTTATTCATTTATATCCTCCCGGAAATAAGCAGCTACAAGATGACACACCTACAATCACCCCCTCAAGTCAAACTCCAGCTATGGTAATGTCTTTGGTTTTATATCCTTTCAGACCTTTAAAAGGAAATATGGCTCCCAAATAGTGGAATTATACCAGTTCTAGGCTATATACCATTTTGGAGGACTCCAGCATGCTGCATGAGCCTTTTCTTTCCAAAGCACCATGTCTGTCAATCATCCTGTCATTCAAAATTAAGAGAATGCTGCCAACTGAAGAACATAGAACAACACTAATAAGTTTTTGTGTTCAAACACAAGGCAGAACACTTTGGGTTTCTCCCTAGGGGAACAATTTTCCTCATTTAACAACCATTTTAGCCTTGCAGGTAGATATTTCAACTTATCAGTTAACAAATTTTTTCCCCCCAAATCAATCACTCCTCATCCTTCTCACACCTACCAGGGCAGTAAGTGGATGGTGATGCAGGCAATGATCAGCAGTTCTCAGAACGGTGGCACCACTGCTTCAATTGTCTTTACAGCCTTTTGTGGATGGTTTTGTTGTTTTTAATGACTACCCACACTCCCTGAGAGGCTACCTATAGGCACTCATTTGAAATGTTACAGTTACGATTTTGAGGAAGTATCACGGATGGAAGTATTACTGAGCATCCTGTCGATTCAACATGGACTTGAAATTAATTACATCTACTTGTGAAATACTGATCAAACATTCCTCCCATTATTGAACAGAAGCATTCTAGCCTCTAAAACAAAGTCTGACACAAACCCTACTTTCTGACTAACTTCCATTATAAAACTAGAGAGATGTTACCAAAAGAGTTCCCAAACAGGCTGAGTTAAAAACTTGGGATGAAGAAGAGAGTAAGAGAGTAGCCAGCCCTCTGGCAGCTCACTAGTTCCCTGATCATTGCACAATTAGGTTACTATTACCACTGGTCATGTCCCTCATCCTCATGACCACAGTAATGTCTCTCTTGTTACTGAAGTTACCTACTTCTATGTTTTTGGGCTTCTAGACTTTGCTCTCATTCTGCTTTGATCTGAGCATTTTTATCCCTTTAATTAGGAATTCTGCTATAACTACTACTGTAACACCCTTCAGTAGTGGAGCCAACACTCAAGCTGTGTTTCCACCAGAAAAGCCCTATGTTTGAGGCTTCTGCTTATATAAAACATATTTAACAACAATCTTTGACATAAAAATTCTCTGGTAAAATTCTGTAATCATCTCCTGTTTCCTCCTCTGGCACAAACATATACAGCATTTTGCATTTCAGGTTAAAATTAGATACTTATAGTGAGTAGGATTATTTCATTCTTGGAAGAAAAGTTGTACCTATTTGACAGTGTGAAATTTCTCAAAATGAAATAAATGTATACTTTCATAACATAGACTCCTCATAAAGGAAATTGACAATGTAAATAATTAACTTATATATAAGGAGAAACCATAAATAAAGACTTCCCCGTAATCCTCTTAATAGTGACTATATATTCAATATGATCTCAGTTTCATAAACAAATGTGCGGATTCATTGGTAAAAAGACCCGGAAAAAGAAATGAAACATATATTCTAAAATGTTAACAGTGGTTATCTCAGAATGGTGTAATTATGAGTGGCTTGCATTTCTTTCTTTATATTTTTTGAATTTTTAAAGTTTTCTTCAATAATATGCTATTATGGATAATAGGTTTAAAAATATATATATATATATATGCATATCTGCTTTTTATTGTGGTAATATACACATAAAATTTTAAAGTGTACCATTCAGTGGCTTCAAGTACATTCACAATATTGTACAACCATCACTACTATCCAGGTCCAGAGCTTTTTCATCACCCCAAATAAAAACCCTGACCCCATTAAGCAATCACTTTCTATTCATTGCCTCCCCCCAACCCCTGACAACTACTAATGTGCCATCTACCTCTATGGATTTGCCCATTTGGGATACTTAACATAAAGAGAATCATACAGTATGTGGCATTTTGTGTCTAGCTGCTTTCACTTAGCATAATGTTTTCAAGGTTCATTCAGGTTGTAGCACAAATCAGAACTTCATTTTTTATGGCATAATATTATTCCATTGTATAGACAGACTACATTTTGTTTATCCATTCTATTGATAGACATTTGGATTGTTTCAATCTTTTGGCTATTGTGTACAAGTTTTTGTTTCGACATCTGTTTTCATTTCTTTTGAGTATATATGTAGAACTGGAATTATATTGACATATACTTTTCTTTAAAAATGCTTTTAATTCTACTTTGGCATTCTGTGTTTAAAGTAATAATGCTTTGCCAGAATTATTAAGGATAACTCTTCTAACATCTTTCCCATAATAATACCATTCCATTTTCAATCACTGATATGGTACGTTTTTTATAGCCCAAATCACATTTTTGTACTTCAAAATGTAATTTTCACCCTTACTCCTTGGAAACAAATTTCTCTTATGCTAAATACTTTAAACTGAATTGAAAAGGACAGTCTTTTCCTCATAGTATAGCCATCTTAGCAGTGTCTAATTCACTTCCAAATACTTACAGAAATGTATGTGTGTATGTTTTTTGTTACTTTAACAGGAAAGCATCACTAAATAGACACTGACATTTAAGCCTTAAGGAATGTCTTAACTACACAACACCAAGTAGAAGCAATATAGAATATTCTGGAAATTCAAATTGGCAGATGGTGACCAGAGAGGATAAATACACCTTGAAAATACACAGTACCAATTCTCCAGAACTTGACCCCCCACCTCCCAAGAGGAAGCTGATATATCTTATGGACATAAAAGCTCAATAATATGAAGGTTAACTGTAGCTGTAAACAGTGCTTGAAGTAGGTTAAAGATCTAATTAACAATGGTTGGATTCTCCCATTTTTCCTTTCCCCAAAACACATGCACAAGTTTGTGCAATATACATTCATGTACATGCCACACAGGCACATGTGCACACATGCACGTGCATGCGCATGCACATGCACACACACGGTACACACACCAGAAGCATACTTCTAACTCAGTGGCTTCAAGTAAGTGTAGAAGGGTTTTTGTAGCTTGATCGCTTCCTACACCTCAGGCTTTTCCCCCTGTTATCACTGCCGCCCTCACCACTACACACACAGTGCCCTGCAATTCAGCAAGCAGAAATAAAATTCTAGCTAGAGAAGAGGAAGCAGTAACCTTAGAATAGTAAAAGAACCCTCCAAACTGTAATGTTTGTTAATAAGTGAGGGATATAATTGGGGTCATTTCAAAATAAAGTACTGGGGAATAGTTCTAGAATACTGGTAGACTTCTCCTTAAGGAAAATTCAAATAGGAAGAATAAGTTTATAGAAAACCATCAACTGGAAAATTTTAGTTCTGTAAAAGGTTTTACACATTCCAACTTTGCTAGGATCAACACAATCAATTAATTTTATTTTTCCTTCACAAAAATATCTTAACATACTTTCATACTGATAATGCTCCAAAAACCCTACCACAAAACCCAGAAGGAACTCTTTCATCCTACCCTCTGCAGGATTTTTAAAAGAGCTCTGGCACAACAATAATTTCTATCAAAGAGATTTTTTCAAATGAAGATTAAGAACTTTGTAAATGTCTGATTCTTATGTGGAAAAACTGAATGGCAGTGGAATACATTGTCTAAAGGCTCACAAGCAACCAGGGCAAAGCCAAATATGAAATTCAAGTTGAGTTAACCAGCAAGACAGTTATGTGTCTACAAGGCAAAATATCTCAGTTACTATGGGGGGGGGAGGGGTAGCCATTCTAAAAAGGTGGTAGAATTAAAATATGTTATATCATGATGATATAGTCATGTCATTTATGAATGTGTGAGAGAGACTGCTGTGTGTACCACTGAATTCCCACTGTTTCTTTCTTACAGCACTTACTCCCTTGTGCTTTGTGTATCCTTCTTTTCTCTGCTATTAGACTCCAAGATGCTTTATGGTAGAGCCCACATCTTAGCCCTTTTGAACGTGTAACACAGTGCCTTGAATACAATCGGCATTCAGTAATGTGGGAGTGTTAATGTGTAAAATTTCAACTATCACCTTCCAACCACCAAAGCAGATCATGGTGGGAACATCTGGACCTCCTGAAAGGCTCAAACCCACATACTAAAGAATAAAAATATGATCCATGTAGGCTACTCTGATTATGGCAATGCACGGAGATACTTGAGTTTATCATCTTATTTCTTAGTGTGTATAAGTGCATAGATTAAGGTAGCCAAGGATGAATTAACACGATTTAACTCTAGTGAACCAACACCCCGTCATTATCCACAATCTGATTTCCCCAACTGGTATATTATTCTTACTCTTTTGCTCCTTGTTTCTGAGATGTATCTTCTGACCACTGAACTGCTTGGTGGCAGTTACACCAGAGTGCATTGGAATGGAAACAAGAGGGGAAATAAATACCAGTCAGTCATTCTCACTATTTATTAACAGCTTTTATGAGGTACTGTGGTAAAGTAATAATGAAGAGCAAATTCAGTTTGGGGATTAAAATAACACATGGCACTTTGCCTTTAAAAAAAACTCCTTCACTCCTATCTCCTTGATCAGCTGTGAGATTTATTTCTCCATGTGACTTTCCACCTCTATTACAATAAAGAATGGGCTGAAAGACTTATTTTCTGGGCCTGATTTTTAACATCTACTCATTTTTCTTTAAAAATTTTCTTGAGTCTTACCTCCCAGTCCAAATAATCACAGACATCTTCAAAGTTAGTGAGCAGAGACACTGAGCAGAACAGCCGAGGCAGCTCATCCCTTGTCATTGGGGGAAAACGGCTATCTTTAAGGGCACTGTTGAAAACGAAGCAAATATTAAAGTGATCAATAGACATGAGAGTTCCTAATCTCAAATGCAGACAATCATTGGAAAAGGTACGAGATTAAAAAAAAAAAAGTAAGATGCCAAAGGCCCCAGTAATCTTCAAATGTATTCCAAGACCCCAAAGATTTTATTAGTCATTTTTTTCCCTTCAATAGATTATGTTTACGAGCCAATCCTGTGACCAATTCAATTGTAAGGGGTGAGTAATCAATTACATTTCCTGTATAGTCATTTCCTGGTGCTTCCCTGTTACTTGTAGAATCTGAGAATGTTTAATTTTACTTTTGAGGTGAATATAAACGAGACTAGTGGAAATTTGTGGGAAGACTTCTGGATCTAGTGCTGGTGGAGAATATATATATACACACACACACACATGTACACACATACAAATATTCACATAAAAAAGTTCGTATTATGTTGGTCACTTAACCATAGAACAGCACCCAAAGGATTCAAAGAAAGATCAAAATTTCATTTTCTTCAAGCAAAAGAAATCAAAGAAAATGAAAATAATCATGCAAATACCAAAAATGTAAGGATTGCAAGCCCCCTAGGAAGAAAAACTCAAGCTATGACTCAAAAATTATGAAACTACAGGAAAATAAGGCTCATCTAGGAATAAAAGTATGATTGGGGACCATTAATCACATTAATGGATTTCTGAGCACATCAACTCTGATTGGACCCTGTAATCAAGGGTAGTATACCACAATGCCAGATTATACAAAAACCCCATTGTAAAGGACAAAAATGTGGGACAACCTCAATTATTCCTGCAATAGAATATACAGAAAATACACACACAAACACACACACGCACGCACTGTGTGTTCCTTGTACTTTTAAAAGAAACCACTTCCTGGTCAAGAAAAACAAACATACCCCTGATTGCATACTGTATTAATAATGCCACCACTGGCATTTGTGCCATCAATCTTCAAATGTCCTATAGAGCACAGGCTTAGAAAATGTTTTCACTGATTAATCCTTAGAGGTTACAAACTCACAGCCTACAAACTGCTTGGGTCATAATAAAGTTCTGTGGCCTTTGGATATAATTCCTTTTTCAGTGACTTCCTCATTGATGGATTTTCTTTCTTTCATTCTTACATCCCTTCCTTTGCCTTCTGAAACTTAGGCACTGTATTGTACAAATACACCCCTACGTTTGTGAGTATTTTCATCATTTTGGTGCTGGCTGTATCCTGCGTACAAAGGAAAATGCTTATAGAAAGGTACAGAGATGGTCTACATAAAGTATAAATGGTTTTTTTCCCCTTCAAGGAGTTGACATGATCCAAGAAAATCAGGAAATCTGCTATAACTAATGCTCTGAGAACAGCATTTCACTACTCTGTAATTCCACAACATAAATTTCCTAGGTTTGTCTTCTTTTATTTTCCTCCTGGCAAATAAAGTTCTAAAAAATATTTTCAAGATTCTCATTCAAAACCAAGATTAAAGATATATATGTGTCTATATAACCCCCACCCTTGACACACACACATACGGAAGAGAAGTTGTAAAACAGAGTAGAAGAATCCCATGCAAACCAACGAAAAGGCCAATCACACTTTCAGTTTTCCTGTTAAAGAGAAACAAAAAAATGAGGGAGAAAAGCCTTATACCTTAGAATAATATAAAATATAATCTGTTAGGGTTATAGTCTTTTTTTATTGTGAAATGTATAACATAAAATTTGCTCTTTTAACCATTTTTAAGCATACAGTTGTGTAGGATTAAATACGTTCACATTGTTGTGCAACCATCCCGACCATCTCCAGAACTTATTCATCTTCTCCAACTGAAACACAGCACCCATTAAACACCAGCTCCCCCATTCTCCCTCCGCCCAACCCCTGGCAAAAATGTAATTTAAACACACTTGTAATTTCAAGGAATTACAGCAATATAGCTGCTAATGTTTCTGTCATATAACAACTTTATTGAGATATAATTCACATACCATAAAATTCACCCTTTTAATGTATACAACTCTGGTTTTTAGTATATTCGCAAGGTGTATAACCATCACCACCATCTATTTCTAAAACATTTCATCACACCAGAAAGAAACCTCCTACCCCTTAGCAGTCAGACCCCATTCTCCCCTCCCCTTAGATCCTGGATATCATAAATCCACTGATTTATGTCTCTATGGATTTGCCTATTCTGGACATTGCATGTAAGTGGAATTATACAATATGTGGCTTTTTGTGTCTGGCTTCTTTCACTTAGCATGTTTTTGCGGTTTCATCTATGTTGTAGCATGTATCACTACTTCATTCCTTTCAATTGCTTAATAATATTCAACTGTATGGATATATCACATTTTGTTATTCACTTATCCGTTGATGGACATTTGGGTTCTTTTCACTTTTTGGCCACTAGGAATAATACTGCTATGAACATTCATGTATGAGTTTTTGTGTAGACATATGTTTTCATTTCTCTTGGGTAGATAGCTAGGAGTGGAATGGCTGCATCATATGGTAATTCATGTTTAACTGTTTGAGGAACCAACAAACTGTTCCCCACAGTTGCTGTACCATTCTACATTCCCACCAGCAATGTATGATGGTTCTAATTTCCCCACATCCTTGTCAACACTTGCTAGTGTCTGCCTTTGTAATTATAATGCTAGGCTTCCTTTAATGGGGCATTTTTTTTGCATCTAGCTCTAGCCTTTACATTAAAACATAAATGCTAAAGTTGCCATACAATTTCTCAGCACTTTGAGGCAAGTTACTTTATTTTTTTATTTCCCGGCAAACAAACAAAAGGTAAATTTTCACTTAGTGCAATTCAGCTATTACAAATGAAAGAAATTTTCAAGTACCTCCTAAAATGTAACTGAGGATAAGGCTAGCAAGTTCTCCTCATAATATGGAGCCTTGTTGCTCATTCTGGGCTTTAAAAAAATAATGTTTAGAACAAGTAAGCAGGAGAATACTAGCAAGGCTAAAAGGAGAAACTAACAGTCATGCCTCACCGTACCCACACTCAGAGGTGTTAACTTCAAAACTCTGAAATGGTAAAGGCACATTAGTCATGATGGAAACAGTCTGAGTTTACAGAAACGCTAACTCAAATAAGATTTTTATTTGTTGCATTTTTCTTCAACTCTTAAGTAACTTTTCAGTAAATTAATGAGCATAGAAAAAACTACAAAAGGTAGGAAGCCATCAGTATCTCTAAATACAAATTCCTAGGGAAAAGAACCAGCAATGAAAGCCTAGTAAGGATTTGAGGGATTATAAAAAAGATGAAAAATGCAGCTGGAGACTGACCTCAGAGCTGCTAGGCTAGTGTGGATAGCTGATAAATGAGAGGATTCAACTTCCCTCAGCCCCACTCTCTTTAGTTTATAGAACATGCAGCGTGGAAGCTGAGCCTTCAGAGAGAGTAGATATGCCATCCAGAGTTTGGCCGTGACTTGCTCCAAGCGACCCAGCTAGTTCATGACACAGGTGGGGATACAACCCAGATGCCCTGACTCAAGTCCAAAATTCTTTCTAGTATCCACACTTTAGTTGCCGCCTTTGAATGGATTCTTTTTAAACTTTAAAATTAAATGCTTGCCTTACTTGGCAATTCTGATCTCATACCTGCAGTGCCTCTGCCTAAAGAAGATAAATAATAGTTTAAAGCATTCATTAGTAGCCAAAGGGTAAGTAGAGCAAGACTTCCTGTCTACTAGAGATCTGTAGAAGCAAAAAGGATTTTAAAATATTAATATTGTCCATGGAAAGCATTTTATACCAGAGTAGTGTCCCAATTGAAATTGTAGGCAGTCTAAGGAACTGACAAACAAGGAGATCTTGTAGTAAATTTGTATGAAGTTCTCTTTGCTACAGTAGGAGGCCATTTTCTAATGGTTAAATATTGCTAAGGAAAAAAAAAACCCACTTATGTACAAAACCAGCTGGCTGCTCCATCACCCATATGATGGATGGGTAAGGTTTAAACAACAGTTTAATTCACATACCAAATTCAAATATATTCAGTTCAAATTGGCACCTTCCCAAGAATATATTTCACCTAATTGAGAAGCAGCATTAACATCTGTCAAAGTTAATATCTAGTGTTAAATAGCACTTTAATGAAAATGAACATTAAAAAAAAGGAATTAAGAGTTTCTCTATCAAAGAATCAAAGGATTTATGTCAGTGCCTGGAAACTATAAGGGAGGAAAAAAAGAACAGCTGAAAAGAGACAAAATCTTAGACATTACAATGTTTATCATCAACAGTACGGCATGGAAACGAAATGACTGAAGTGCTTTAGCTAGCTAACCATTCACTCATTCATTCTTTCACTTTCTAAAACATTGGTTACCTTAATCAGTTAACTAGTGGAAAGTTACCAAATTGAGAAGGGCTTCATATTACAGGCAATCTTTGTTTTTTTAGGACAAGGAAGTAATTAAAACCAAAATTAAAAATCCCTGTTTGGATAAGTGAAGGAAAGCAAATCAGGGACACATCAGTCTTTTTAAAAAACTTTTCATAAGGGGTTTCAGTAATCTGGAAATTCTGCTGTTCCTCATCAGAGCTTCTGGAACAGAATGTACACATGGCATGTAGGAACTCTGGAAACAGAATACTAGAATTTGAAATCCGAAACCCAAAAAATGATCCATAAGCTCCACTTCACGTTAAATATCAATTTCAGCTTCCCATTATTAAAAAATATGTGTATATAATATATGCACACATACATAAAATAGGATGCCAAAAATAAGTGACTATTCACCAAACTTAAGGGTAGGGAGGAAGGAAACCTTATTTTACTGAGGGCCATGACCCAAAAGGAAATTTTCAACTGTAAGCCATAGTTAAAGTGGTACTTAATTGGGACATGTTTTTTTCCCTTTAGAGTAATAAATGCAACATGCTGCATCTATGCTCCTCACCACTTAGGAGAGTAGGTTGTGAATTTGATTTAGTGGATCAGAACTACAACT